CAATGTCCCGATTTAAGCCAAGCAGAAATCTGGCCATAGTAGCTTCACGATCTTCATCTACATTGGCTCGAATCATGGCTGTCTCCATCTCCTTGAAATAGTCTTCAACACTTTTAGAACCTTGTGTGAGACTTTGCAATTTCTAAAACAAGTCCCTATGGTAGTGACTTGGAATAAATCGCCTTCTCATGACAACTTTCATTTCCTCCCATGTTTCAATGGCTTTTTCACCATGTCTTCTCCTGTTTGACACAAATTGATCCCACCAAACAATAGCATAATCAGAAAATTCTATGGCAGCTAATTTTACCCTTTTTCAATTCTGAGTAGTTTTGGCAATCAAACACCAACTCCATCTTTCTTTCACACTCCAAGCAAGCTTCTGGATCATTCCTGCCTTGGAAGGATGGAATCTTCATCTTGATACTTCCTAGGTTATTTATCAACCCTTTCTTCATTACAAACTCTTCGTCCTTTATTTTGACGCTCATTCTGCCACATAACAACCGTAGAATTGGTTTCATCTTCATTTTGATGTTTTGAAGTTCTGGCTTTTTGCTCCCTTTGTTCAACTCTTTCTATTCTATCTTGCATTTCATCGAACCTGAAGTTCAATCTTTCAAATCTCTATGTCATGGCTTCAAAGTAGAATTTGAAATCTTTAGGAATTTGAGCATCACCCTCTTGAGACATTTTTTTTAATCTGCAAAAAACAAAAGTTGAAATATCCTCACAAACACACCCTCACGTGTTTCTCTCCCAATTAATAGCTCTTACACTCGTGTTTCAAAATTGGGCTTGTACCCTCTTATAAGCTCACACACTCCTGCCTTTTTCCCTCTTTTGAATTCTCTCTTTTAGTTCTTAGCTAAACTCAATTGAAGTTTTCTTGAAAAAAAATCCAAACAGATCACAAGATATAATACAAAGAGAAAAGAAGAACAAGATATATATATATATATATATATATATATATATATATATATATACATATATATTTGTGTCAAAAAATAGGGGTAAAGAAAGGCTTGAATGACAATAAATTTAAGCACTAATAACTCTAATTAAGTAAGAAGGGAAGTACACACTGTAATAGAAAAAAACAAAACCTGAAAAGAATTCAAAGAGACAAATTTTACCTCAAGGAATTCAGATCAGATTTATATTTTATTTTTTTTTTCTTCCTTTTTTTTTGCTTCAGAAGAAACTAAGGCCCTGTTTGATTGTGTTTTGGTTTTTTTGTTCTTAAAACTGTTTTGTAGAATAATTATGGAAACAGTTGTTTTCTATGTTTTTTTTGTTTTGAAAATTAAAAACCAAAACAAAAAACAAAAACAACTCAGACATGTTCTCTAAATTTGATTCTAAAAACAAAAAAATAGTTGCAGTTTTTAAAACTTTTTTTACAAAACAGGCCTTACCAAACGAGTTTTTTTTGTTTTTTTGTTCTGAAAACTAAAAAACTGTTTTTAAAAACAGTAATCAATTTAGTAAGGCCCAAGAAGGGTTAACAATACAATAAGGCTAGATCAAACCTGATTTAGAATACTAGCTTTGATACCAAATGAAATGAACCTCACCAAGAATAGTGAGACCCAAGATCAATTTAGTTAGGATCGTTTCTACAATCAGAAATTTAAAACAAGAAGTAAAGAACCTTGACCCGTTATCTATGGAAGATAAGAACCAAAGGTATAAGAAGGATAAAGACGCCACACTCAAGAAAGAAGAATGTGAGTGATAAGTCTATTTTGAAAGAATAAGTTTCTTGATAAGTTCAGAGTTCTAGATAAGAATCAAAGAGAAGAAACCTCGCTATTATATTATAACTTTAAAATATGATTACAAGAGTTTTATTCTCCCTTATTTATACTTGGAACATCCCTCCAAGAATGGAAAAAGACTAACAAATGAAAAGACACTAATTTAAAGTTGACAACTTTGAAAAAGGAAAAGACTCTAATTAGCCTACTAAACATTAATGACATTGGAAATGTGAATCAATCCCACTAAGCATTAATAACATTGAAAATGCTATCAACCCCACTAAGCATTAATGACATTGAAAATTGCTAATTATTCCACTCAACCTCCATTGCATTAATGACATTAACTAAATTCTGATTATGAATAAATTTGAACTTGATGTCTTCATGATTAGCCCACATTTGCTGGATCAACTCACTAAGAACTTCTTTAAATTTCTTGGCCCTTGATCTTGTGATTGGCCGATTTGGCAATTGTAATGGATCACTAGGTGTTGTCTCCTTTTACATATCAGTGTGTTACAAGAGCGAAGGTGTATCTGCAATAACAAAAATATATATTATTGTTATATTTATTTCTTGTTATCAATTTAGCAAAGCGTGGCCTCTGCTTCCTAACAAGAAATAATTAAATAAATAAAAAAACAAATAAAAAGAATAAAGACTTACTATCAGCTGCGAAAGCCTTGAGAATCGATGGTGAGCAATTAATGATTTGAAATGAATGAGAAGTTGAGAAGGGGACAAAAGAATAGCGAAATATGGTGGGGGAGAAAAAAGTAGTGGCGGAGAAGGAATTAGGATTAAGAAAAAAATGTATTTGGCAAGTGAGAAAAGGGAATATTATGAAAAAATAAAAAATAAAATAAAATCATAGGATATTATTTTATTAAAAAATAAAAATAAAATAAAATAAATATTATTTATTATGAAATACGATATGGGCTTAGAGGTGCCTGCTAAAATAGATTTGTGACCATTTACATCCCGATTGACGCACGCAGCCTAAGGGATATGGTTCTCTTTTAGGGATTTTTATTTTTTAATTGAGGGGATCGATTTTTGAGACAAACAATCCACTAATATTATCAAAATAAAACTTTGTATGTATAATTATTTTTTTCAAATTTTAGGGAAGGGCGGGGGCGCCTCCCGTAGATCCACCCCTGATGAGATTGCCCCATGATTTGAAGCTAGTCATTCATGAAAATACATCCAAGGGCTTGAAATGTTTGAAGCTTGGTGTGGAGTCTCATCGAAATATGATCTACACACACAAAAAATAAATAAATTGAAAACTTAAAACCAAAAGGGTTTCAACTTTTTTTATCAATTTCATAAAAAAATATCCAAACAAAGAATTTTAAGAAAGAGATTATACATTTTTAATAAAACCTATATTCAAAATTTTAAATATTTTAAAATTTCTTGAATTAATATATCTTTTTTTTGGGATAACTTGGATAAATATTTCATACCTATTTTTAATGAATTTAATTACACTGTTTTAGCATAGAGAAAAACTGAAAGAATGGTGTATTTGGTAAGTGTATTTAAATTTTCCCATAAACCTATTATCTCCAATATCATTCTTATCTAAAAAAATAATATAATATAGTGGTTAGAGTTATATATATTGGGGCTACGGTCTAATTTGATTCTACATGAAAATTATAACCAAACTCAAACCGATCAGTTTATTCTATTCATCGTGGGTTCCGTTATAACGTCTTTGCCTATAAATTTTTCATCTAGAAAATTATCTGACCTGTACCGAATACTCACAGGTGAGGTGGGTGTCCTGTACTGCGATCGGATACACAGCCCTTTCACCCCAGTTTTTGGGCTATCAGCCGGCAAAAGAACCGTACTGCTATGTTTTTGTAAAAATTTCTGCTGTTCAAAGCATATCTGAAAAGTTTGGACATAGTGTAGCAATCAAACGCGTCAACGACGCATTCAACTCCGTCAACAAACATGATGCGACTTGGTTGCAAGTTAGCAACCTGGAGCAGCTTCATGCATATTTTGCTTGAGTCCCATTTATATGACAATACTACTTGAAGCTGAATATGCCACGTAGCGTGAAGCTGCTCCAGGTTGTTGACGTGGAACCAAGTCGCTAGGCTTGGCAAAAATGAGCTAATCCCGGCTAAAATGAGTCGGATTGGGTTAGGAAAAATGAGTTAGTATAACTCGAGTCAGCTCGACTCGTTTCAGCTCGAAAAAAAACTCACGGGTCAAACGGGTTGGCTCGCAGGTTATGATTTTTTTTAATATAAAAGTATAAAAATTAATGAAGCTAAAATAGAAAGCTAAAATCTAAAATCCCAATTCCAAAGACCTAAACAAAAATACCCTCCAGCTGTCAATAAGTCCAAAATCGTGCATTAAGGACCTTTTTTGTAGTATGTGTGACAGTGTGAATGTGGTGCCAACTGTCAATAAGTCCAAGTCCAAATACAAAACTTTCTATGGTTTACTGTATAATCTTTTTGTATTGAATGAATTAATAATTTAGGAAAAAAATTTAGAATTTATAGCATCAATGAAATTTTATTTATTTTTTTCATTTTTTCGAGCCAACCCGCGAGCCAACCCTAACTCGACTTGGATCGGGTTGAGTTTTCTGGCTCATTTATTTTTCAAGTCAACCCTAACCCGGCTCGTTTTTTTCGAATTGAACGCAGATTGGGTCGGGTTGAGCCGATAAGTCGCGTCATGTTTGTTGACGGGATTGAATACATCATGTGAGTTGACGCATTTGACCGCTCTACTGGCCAAACTTTTCAAACGTGCTTTTGCTGCTATAATTGGGCTTTGCAGTTTTTCTTAAACCTAGCTAGAACTTATATCCCAATGCTCATGATCTAAACTAAACTCACATATTATGCATATTAGTTTAATTTAGGTAAATCTCGATATGGTGATGGAGATAATTTAACCATATCCAAAATTTTAACTAAATATAGCCCATTATCCTACACAAGGTGTCCACGAAGTTTCTGAGAAAAAGTTACACATTCATCCTTGACGTTATATATGGTATTATATTTATGAAAAAATATTTTCTCATATTTGTTTATAGACTCTTACGTGGGATCCAAATCTATTAAAAAATAAATAAATAAAAAAACATTACACGAAAATTTAATACCATAAGAGTCTATTAACATCAGAAAATTTAAAATTTCTCCATGAAAAATTGAAATCCATATTTACTCAAACACGGTTTTATTACATTTAATGCTTTCAACCCACGACGCGCTTTGACACCATCCCTTTGAACCATTCCAATTTGCAAGTGCGACATATCGTTGGCATAGCACATCACAAGACCCCAAATCAAACCTCACGTTCTTCCAACACCAAACAAAAGGGGGAAAAAAAAAAACCCACCATTGAAAACCAAAACCAAAGTACCAATTGGATCTTTCTCCTCTCCCACCTTCACCATCATGTCAATGCTCCAAACCGATCAGATCAAACAACTGAACGACATATTCAACCGCTTTGACATGGACTCCGATGGCAGCCTCACCCACCTGGAGCTCGCTGCCCTCCTCCGGTCCCTCGGCATAAAGCCCACCGGCGACGAACTCCACGCTCTACTCTCCAACATGGACCACAATGGCAATGGATACATCGAGTTTGATGAGCTTGTCCATGCAATTATGCCAGATATCAACGAGAACGTTCTAATCAACCAAGAACAGCTCTTGCAGGTGTTCCGTTCCTTCGACCGTGACGGCAATGGCTACATCACCGCATCGGAGCTCGCAGGATCCATGGCTAAGATGGGTCACCCTCTCACGTACCACGAGCTCGCCAACATGATGTCAGAAGCTGATAGCAACGGCGACGGTGTTATCAGCTTCAACGAGTTTGCCACCATCATGGCCAAGTCCGCCGCTGATTTTCTTGGCCTTAAGGTGGCATAGATATAGATCAAGGTTCATCAAAATCATGGGGTTTGATTTGTGAAACCTTTCTCTGCTTTTCCTTTTTCATTTTCTTTAGGGTATTGGTGCTAAAGGAGGAGAAGAAAGAGAAATAATTGTTCAACCACAAAAGGGGAATTGAAAACAAGAATAATTGATTTTCTCTTTGAGTTGAAAGATTGACTAAATGTTGTAAATGTAACATGTAAATACATAAATCCGTTTTTTTTTTTCCTTTTTCAATGTAGTTGTTATTGGTATTTTCATTAGTAAAGAATCTGGTTTTTTTCCGTTAACATTTTCACTTGCTAGAACCTTGAAGACTTTTCTGCACACCGTAAACCGTAGGGTGAAAGTGTGAAACTCATAAATAATTAATAAATGATTTACAATAGGAGGATCAGATAACGTCAATGATTTGGTGCTATTCTTGTTTGCTTGTTTTTTTTTTTTTTGGACAATGGGGACTTGAAATTTTGGAAATGAGAAGAGATAATTGATTTCTTTTGTACCTTTTCTTTTATATATATATATATATATATATATATATATATATATATATATATATAGGTTTATTTATCAAGCTGTCGGAGATAATTTTATCTCTGACTAATAAATCATAACCGTACAAAAATGGATCAATGGTGATGAAGGAAGGGAGAGAATAAGGGAATCATAACCATTCAAAGGTGAATCAATTAATATAAGAAAATAAATAAACAAAACGACGTAATTTTAGGGTGGCCGGAGATAAACTTATCTCAAGTTGCCGAAAAAATATTTTTTCATATATATATATATATATATATATATATATAGGGCTTATCATTTCTCAAGCTGCTTGAGACAATGTTATCTCCGGCTACTAAATCATAACCATACAAAGATGGATCAATGGTGATAAATGAAGAGAGAGAAAAAGGAAATCATAACTATTCAAAGGTGAATCAATTAATATAAGAAAATAAATAAACAAAACGACGTAGTTTTGGAGTGGCCGGAGATAACATTGTCTCAAGCAACTTGAGAAATGTTTTTCCCATATATATATATATATATATATATATATATATATATATAAATAGGGTAGGATATTCTTACACCGGTGTAAGAGTTAAAAGTCTTACACTCAATCTTGATCGTTGATCCACTTGTATCCAATCACTCACATTACTAAGAAATTTGAGCCGTTAGATATAAATGGAATCAACGGATAAGATTGAGAGTGTAAGTTACACTAGTGTAAAATGATCTTGACCCTATATATATATATATATATATATATATATATATATATATATATATATATATATATATATATATATATATATATATATATATGGTTTTTCATTTCTCAAGCTGCCGGAGATAACTTTATCTCCGGCTACTTCAAAACTACGTCATTTTGTTTATTTATTTTTTTATATTAATTGATTCATCTTTGAATGGTTATGATTCCTTTTTTCTCTCTCTTCCTTTATCACCATTGATCCATTTTTGTACGGTTATGATTTAGTATATTTCTCAAGTTGCTTGAGACAATGTTATCTCCGGCCACCCCAAAACTACGTCGTTTGTTTATTTATTTTCTTATATTAATTGATTCACCTTTGAATGGTTATGATTTCCTTTTTTTCTCTCTTCATTTATCACCATTGATTCATCTTTGTATGGTTATGATTTAGTAGCCGGAGATAACATTGTCTCAAGCAGCTTGAGAAATGATAAGCCCATGTATGGCTTATCATTTCTGAAGCTGCCGGAGATAACTTTATCTCCGGCTACTAAATCATTACCGTACAAAGATGGATCAATGGTGATAAAGGAAGAGAGACAAAAAAGGAATCATAACCATTCAAAGGTGAATCAATTAATATAAGGAAATAAATAAACAAAATGACGTAGTTTTGAAGTAGCCGGAGATAAACTTATCTCAAGTTAGCGGAGAAATATTTTTCTCGTATATATATATATATATATATATATATATATCTATATGTATATATATATTAGAATCTTTTAAAGTTGCATAATATTTAGTACTTGCAATTGATAATGTTGATTAAATCTCCCTTGAACGTTCATGAATGTGATGGCTTTAATTTATCCAGTAAACCGTAAAGCACTTTTATACCCAAGGTTCGTTCTGGCTATTAAATTGTGTAAGATCTTCAAAATTGATTGCCCGAAGAAGATGAAACTTAAGAAACTTGAGAAGGGCATTTCTTTGAGATGAATTACAGACGCGCATGTTTAGCAAGCAACAGAACCAATGCCATTAGAGGTGCTAAACAAATCAGGGGCCTTTGGCTCGACTCGTGAAGGCCTGAGCTTACACGTCTAAAATTAGTTATTGGCACCAGATTTGGACTTGTATAAAAGTTTTTTTTTTTTTGATAACATAAAAGTTTGTTTAATAAAAAGGCCTCAGGCTCCAATTTAAAAGCTCGGTCTTAAAGCCTCTTAGGCTGGCCTAGTATATTATTTTTTATTTATATTTTATATTTTTTATACTACTTGTAATGGCCCTCTTTTTCTCCTCAATCCATTTCACTCCATTTTATTGGTTAAAATGACTTTTTGAATGATTTTGTTTTATATTATGTTGTTTGGATATAAATTGAATTGATGAATATTCATGGAATTACTAGTTTTGTTGATTGAATATTCTGTTTGGATAAATTTTTGTTGTCTTATTTTTTTTTTAAACAGGCTAAACAAGGCTTTTATTTTTTGTAAATAAGTCAGGCAACATGCCGATAGTAATATTTATAACAGGTAACAGGCTTGGTCTGGCTAACACATTTAAACACAAGCTTAGCCTTTTAAGACCAAAGCTCGGCTCGTCCCGTTAACACCCCTAAATGTCACAAATGGTTCTTTAGATTTGGGGAATCCAGGTAAGGTTTATTTTCTTTTCTTAATGCAAGTAGGGCTTCAAGGTTAATGATCACAATTATTTGTGATGTTTATCTAATAGTTATTTCTGTTAATTATATCATAAATACCTAGATGAAGAACAAAAATTTACCGTAATATTATAAATACCACTTGAAGCTATGATTGGAATTTAAATCCTTATATCTTTACACATTGGATATTACTTGCTTGGACAGAATGAGCCTTATGACAAATCCAGTCACATTCTTTTAATTAAGGATAAGCTTAACATTGCATTAATGAATTACCACATTATTCAACGGGGCTCAGGCCACGCTATTCGTCAACCATTTTATGAACCAAAAGGTTCGACAACGTCAAAAGCGTAAAATATATTCTTACATTCTCTTTGTTGAGTGTAACACCCCAGTCACCCAAGGAAAAAAAAACGACTACACAATCACACAAGAGGGATGAATTGTGTGTTACTTGAAATTTAAGAAACAATTCAAAAATCAATTTTTTAACATACAACTTCAATTAAGACAAAATTTATTGATCATAAACCTTTTTCCCAATACAAAATTAGAATTAAAATAATTCTTATAACATCAATTTAGAAGCAATATGCAGCGAATCAAATTTGAAAGGGAAAATAAAAGAATTTCAATATTTATGCCTATCATTCTCAAGAATTCATGCAAGAACGAATTAAAACATAAAAGTAATGATTATAATCCTTAAAACAGATTCAATATAACATATATCAAGAATCAAAACGAAATTCAATTGATAGAAATTCAATTGATAGAAATCAAAAGAGATAGGGTGCTTGAAGAAACCTTTTTACAGCTGGAATTTACAAGTCTATGATCACACTTAACCTAAGCCTTTAGGGTCACTCCAATTGTCTTTCCAACAATTACAGCAATTCACTCTTGCTAAACAGATGTAGATTCACCTCTCTACGTTCTAACAAAAAAGAAAGAACAGAAAAAGATTGAGAGATGAGAGAGTAATTGACATTTTTCTCAAGGATGTGCAAAAGTAAGCCAATATGGGTTCAATTCTGAAATTTCTTTGATTCTGAGTTTTTCAGTGTTAATTCTTGTGTGCAAAACCCTAATGATATGTATTTATAGGTGCCCAATGAATTATTAGTCGTTTATAGCTTTGGGCATCAAAAATTTTGAATTTCTTCGAGTTTAAGTTACTAATAATTGAAAGTATTTCATTACTTTTCGGAGAGTATTCGAATACTTCTTTAAACCCAAAAAGTATTCGATTACTTTTCTACCCAGAAAAGTATTCGATTACTTTTATGCAGAAATTAGTTTTCATGCTGGTTTTTGAATTTTAATGCATTCTAATAATTTCCAGTGACTTCTAAATGATTCTAAGTGACTTCTAACATATGTATGATCATGTTTCACACTTGCATTACAACTCTTGATGTGTGTGAACATTGTATAAATTATCAAAGTGAATATGAGTCACCTATATGAGTTTATGGTTTATTTTTGCACTTCCCAAGTTAAAAACTCAATAAACTCAATCTTAATAAGTTCTAACACTCTTAAAGTATAACCAATAAGTGCTTGAGTCTTCATTGTCTTATTTTCTTCTTCATAGTTTGAGTCTTCTAATACTCTTTTTAGCTTGAAATCTTTGACTTGAGCTTTGATTTTGTATATTTGAGTCTTCTCTTTATGTTTGCACTTTGTTATAGGTTTCTTGTGTCATTTAGAACTTATTGTCATACCTTTCATTGAGAGCTTTCATGTTGATCTATCTTGGTACTTGTTGGTGCTTTGTTTTCATCAAAACTTCATAAACGTAGTGATATGAACCTTACCAAGAATAGTGAGACCCAAGATAAATTTAGTTAGGATCGTTTCTACAATAAGGAATATAAAACAAGAAATAAAGAACCTTGACCCGTTATCTATGGAAGATAAGAATCAAAGGTATAAGAAGGATAAAGATGCCACACTCAAGAAAGAAGAAGGTGAGTGATAAGTCTGGTTTAAATGCCACAAGAATAAGCTACTTGATACGTTCAGAGTTCTACATAAGAACCAAAGAGAAGAAACTTCTCTATTATATTATACAAAAATTTGATTACAAGAGTTGTATCCTCCCTTATTTATACTTGGAACATCCCTCCAAGAGTAGGAAAAGACTAACAAATGAAAGGAAAGTAAGTTAAAGTTGACAATTTGGAAAAAGGAAAAGACTCTAATCAGCCCACTAAACATTAAGGACATTGGAAATGTGAAACAACTCCACTAAGCATTAATAACA